TGAATCGATTTCGTAGATAATTCGTTAAATTGCATGCAATTGAAAAGAGGAAAATGAAAGCAATCACCGCATGATAGATACCGTATACCAAAAACTGAAATTAATAAACTTTGCGTGGAACTAATTGTCACATGTAAAATGTGAAACTTAAACAAATTAACTGATTAATTAAAAGTTAAGCATCTAAACGGAACAATCCTTAATTAGCGTAATATCCTTTATTATTTCATATATAGTTTTATTCAATTGTAGCATTGACGGACTTATACTTGACGCATACACGTATGTTCACGTAACGTCAAGAAGATTCCAAAGAGGAGATTATTCATATTCATAAAGATTTCAAATGTGAAATAAATGGAGGAAAATGAAACCTGTGATCGTACTGTCATACCAAAGCCGCGTTTATCCACGACGATCATTGTCAACAGCGCTTGCAAAATGAGTGCCACAAATGAATTCAGACCAAATATCAATCCATAACTTTCACTGACCATCTTTTTGGCCAAATTCCATCTGCATTAATATTCAGTAATTAATTTTCCATTGAATATTACGATAAATCATGGTAAATAATCACAAATAAATTATCCAATGCATATTGAGAAATGCATTCTGCTTCATAACTTTTCAGTGATAGGCAATTGTGATAACGATAATGTCACGTAATCATTATTATTGAACATATTTGCCGAATTCCGATTATGGAAAAACTTCCATAACGGCACTAATTTTGAAAAATTTCCCTATCAAAATATGGAAATAAATTAAGGACATACTGTGCAATGGTTATCATTACTTGGTAAAGTGTACGATAGCAAATGTAACAAATATACATCACGCAGATTGTTTGCGCTTGGCTAAATAGTAGCAGTAAAGCGCAATCGATGCTTGAAATTAGTACCAAAGCCGCTTCGCCCCATTTATCCCAATCAATTGATATCGCATCCATAAGCATTATTGCTACAGCAGCTGAAACAAAATAAATTTAAAAGTTAAACAATTTAAGTCTTGCAATTGATTACTGCAAACCTATTTTTTTATTCATCTACCAGATTCCGTGTTTTTTTTTTCAAATAATTGGACTCATTAATTAATGAAAGCATATGAGGAAACTGTTAATATGTAGAAATAACGAAGACTGTCGAATACAAATTCGAAATTCCATCCACAACACTCATTAACCTATATCTGACAACTAACTAACTTATGCAATCTCTTCAGATGTTCATTAGCATACTGTGTCTCACATCCTATTTTTGTAACTTCATTAAATCCTTTCATCTTATTCTAGCTTCATAACTCTTTTTCTAAAAAATTCTCGAAATTAGTCTCTAAATAAATCTCTCCGACGCTCATGAAAATTCCTTAATGAATTATTACTTGTAATCATTTGTAAACGAATCTTTCAATGTTTCCTAAAAACAACACTTTCCTATCATAAAAACCGTTTTTGTATCTGATTATTGTCTTACATATTCCCTTCTTTTTTTTCTTTCAATAGGCTAACCTAACACCTCCCAATAATCAGCCTTCAAAAGGCACTATTATCATGCATCAATCAGTTCCTGAGTTACTCAATTCCTGAGTTCCTCTGTTCCTCAGTTCTTCACTTGGCTGATCTTAACTCTGCTTCATTTCGTTTCGACTGTTTTCTTATTTGTCAAGAATCTCGAGAAATCCTTTTGTTTATAACGTTGAAAAAAAAATCCCATTCCACCGCATCAAATCCAAAATTCCGAGCCAATTCAAACCAACCGGGTCCGAGACGACCACCCCAAAATCCACAACAAAGACAGTCAAATTTTTTGAAATGGTGCAAAATGAAAAATGCCCGCTTGGCAGTTATTTCAAATGATTACTTGAATAAAAAAAAAAAATATTTAAAAATGCTTGCCACAAGCCGTATAAGTCGCTTCAGCGAAGCCATTAAGCGTTGTTTCCTCCGTTTGCACTTCGCCCCATAACGTTTGTGAATAAGCGCTTACCTAACATCAAATACAAATTAATGAAAAATAGCACTGAACAAAATAATTAGAGAAATGCGAAGTATGCAAAATTTACTACTTATTGTTCTAAGAAATTATTCCAAATATCAATTGTCCTGTACATTAAGCTAATAAGTTATTATAATAGCATTATTAATTCATTTCCGTACAAAATTACACTTTGTTGCTGTTGATCGAAGGAATAATTACTTAAATTGGATATGTAAAAATAATTAATAAATTTCACCTGCAAGGACATACAGGTTGTCATTGCCCACCAAAGTGACCATTTTCGTACAAACCCAATCCCATAAATTTGTTTTGTATTTGACCATAATGTTTCCATTCGAAATTTCATATATTGTACATATGTAGTCGGCTCATTAAACGTTTCCTTATCTCAAAATTCAATTTTAATTTTCGAATAAAAGAAACATAAATATTATACAAATTAAATTTACAAAGCATATGTATATAATTTTCATTGGATATTATAATGAAAAACTTTAGAGAAATCCTTTTAGTCATTCTGGAATTGGCTATAAATAGAATTTTGGAAATGAAATCAACACAAATGCATTTTTCGCTGAATAAATAATTTTGTTGAATGCATTCACCAATTAATTAGGTAATTGATGATTCAGAAAAAAGTAACATTTTTTATTTATCACTGAAATAAATGTATTGTTTTTCAAATATTCAAACATGATCAGATATAGTAAGCATCAATTTTTTTTTCCAACGATGAAAAAATAATTTAAAATGAAAAACTTTTAAAGCAAAATGACTAACCAATGGTAATTTTAATTCGTTCAACCAATGATTTCCATTGTATCCGTGGAAAGCATAAACCAAAAATAAATACTAAAATTGGTGAAAGAAGTGAAATTTGATTAACTGTTAAATAAGTACCAATCGTAGTTATTACAATTGTTTGGCTCAACAAATAACCAAATGTACGTCCAGCCATTGTTGATGCTCGTGTCCATGATGTTAACCTGAATTTGTAATTGAAATATAACAATATTAATTTTAATTAAGGAAATTTTTGGAAAAAGTATATTTCAAAAATTGGAACTATTTGTTCCAAAGAAGAAAAATCGAAAGTAAAATAGGATGGAAATGCAATAATAAAATAAATGTTTACCGTTTATAATCATTTTTTCCAACTTTAGCATAAATATATGAGTAAAATGCAATTTCAGCCGCAGATGCAATACCATAAAAACTCATTCCAATTTGTTGTAGAAATATTCCCGAACCAAATACCAAAGTAGTTCTATAATTTGAAAAGAAAAGTTTTATTTTTTTCTGCTTTGAAGTTAATAATTCAAATTATAATATTCACTAACTAAATTATTGTTAATTGCTAAGCATCACAGTTGAAGAACTTCTCAGATTATATTCAGCAATTAAATTATCATTAAAATTAAATTTCAGTCTGAAAATTTTAAGAAAAAAAAATGTTAAATAGAATATTCTAAACGGTTATGACTGTCAAATGAATAGAACTTTTTGATTTGCAATTATAATTTAAATTACAATATTCCAATTGATTTTGATTTATTATTAGAATACTGTCAAAAATAATATTGGAAAAATTCTTTGACAGTATTATTTTTTTGCAAATGGATCACCTGAAAACCATATAGCCCATGCTTTCTAAAAGTAGAATCGGTTTATAAAGTAGCAGATCAGTTAATAAAAATATTGGAATAAGAGTAATCAAATAGCTATATGTCCAGTATGGATATATCTAAAATATATTTTATATCGGATGCATTTGAAATTAATAACCGAATTTAGTTTATGGTAATGTATTAATTTTACAAGCATTTAAATTTAATCTTTTTTGACCATTTTACAGTCAAGCCAATTATCACTAACAATTATTACAATCGTTCTGTTAAAATTCTTCCAGTATCTGTTAAATTTAAGCTCAATATTTTTAGCTATTTACTTGCTTTTCCCTTCTTACTCTTTCGTGCTTTTCATTTATACATTACAACGTTCAAAGATAAATTTAAAAAAAATTATTACATTTCAAAGTGCAACATTAAACAGCACTTTATATGATCTTTGCTTAATGAAATGATCATTTTGTCTTAACTAAATCATTTTGAGTAATTACTTACGTGGTCATTACACAATTATAAAATTAATTTTTGTAAAAAAAAAAAAACGTACTTCACCATTGAGCTGTTTTTCGGTGAGATTTAAAAAATGAGTTTGATATTTAAAGAGAAATGGTTCACCGGGCTTGAAATCCTTAAAAAATCCATACAATACTAATAATACAGGTACTGTACTACACGTCATTTTCGTACAGTCTGGAAATTATTACCTGAA